CTTGTCTCATCCTCCCAAGCAACTGGGATTACAGCCATGTGGCACCATAGCTGGTTAATTTTTTAACTTTTTGTAGAGGTGAGGTCTCACTGTGTAGCCCAGGCTGGTCTCAAACTCCTGAGGTCATGCAGTCCTCCCACCTCGACTTCCCAAAAGCCACTGCTCCCAGCCGAGACAGATTTTTAAAAACAAATTTAATAATCCATATCATTAAGGAAACCTAAAAATTAAATGGCAACTAAAATATTTTCAGAGTTTAAGTTAAATTCAAGCAGCTAAGAAATACAATTAACAAAAATTAAGAAAAATAAGTTATTCTGAATAGCTAATGAGTTTCTTCTAACTTAAGTGCCGCTGCTCTATTTTTACTGGTCTACAACAACAGCAGTAGTTATCAGACAGGAAATCTTTTCCATCTCTACCTATTCAAATCAAACTGAAACCCTTCTTATGGGGAATGATTATAAATGAAAACTGTTTGACCATAGACTATGTAGAGAGACAATGCATGTGCCAAAATTAATCAGCTACGTGACATGAACAAATCTTTTAGCTTCTTTGAATTTAGCTTCCTTATATTTTTGGTACATCCAACTCATCAATTTTACAATCAGATAAAAGAGCAATTGAATTACGTAAGATCAAGACATAGATAAACTGACATGTAGGTAGAAATGACCTGTCTCTATATAACGCTTAGGCAAACACCAGAGATCGGAGGCCATAGAAACATGATAAATCTAGATGAAAAGAGTAACATGTATGAACAAGAATAATAATTCTTTTAAAATCAGAAAGAGGGCATACATTTTAAAACTTACGTGAGTTTTCCATAGCCATTTTGAAAATAACTGGTTTTATCTGATGAAAACAACATTTTACAACCAAACTGTTGTAATCACCATGTAAATAAGAGGGGATAAAGAGAAAGGAAAGGTAGTGTTGAACAGGAGATGAAACAGCAGTTTGGGAAGGAAAATGGAATGTAAGGAAAAACGAGATTGATCAATGGTTGAAGACTGAAGCAACAAGAAAGTATTATGTCTAATGAAAAGTAGGAGAAAAGTAAGAAAGAAAGAAAATGAAGAAAAGGCTGAAGATATAAGCAAGTAAGGAGTACCTAAGTAACAGAAAGGGGTAAATGAAAAGGAGTAAGGAATAAAAAAGGGTAAAAGATTAAGTGAATAAAGAGGTTGAACTGTTAAGAGTCAAGGAATAACTGGTTGAAAAAATGGAAAATCTGGGTAATGGATAAACCAAACATGAGAAGATAACGTAATCTAACAGAGCAACCGAATTACGTAAGATCAAGACATAGATAAAATGACATGTAGGTAGAAATGACCTGTCTCTATATAACGCTTAGGCAAACACCAGAGACCGGAGGCCAAAGAAACATGATAAATCTAGATGAAAAGAGTAACATGTATGAACAAGAATAACAATTCTTTTAAAATCAGAAAGAGGGCATACATTTTAAAACTTACGTGAGTTTTCCATAGCCATTTTGAAAATAACTGATAAATCTTTGAAAAAAGTATCTACGACTGACTTTTTTGGGGGGCTGGCAGGGACCAAGTCTCACTAATGTTCCCCAGGCTGAATTTCAAACTCCTGGGCTCAAGCAATCCTCCCACCTCAGCCTCTTGAGTAACCGGGTGCATGCCACCATGCCCAGTCTATGGCTATGATTATGAAAAGGTAAATATCACTGAAATTTTAAAGACTGTTGATCCCTAGAGTAATAATTAAATAAAGAAACATGAAGTTATTGTGTGAAATTATTTCATGGCAAAATAAGAAACAGAAAAAAAAAAACTATAAAAATTAAAATCTTCAAACTCACTTAAATCTTAGAATCCCATGATGAATATACTGGCATACAGAATACCTAAGTACTCATTTTTAAAAGTATACTTTATAATTTAAGCAGTATAAAGTCTATTTTTACTAAATAATTTTACTACATAAGTTGTAACTATAAAGTAGTAAGTATAGCTTTTTTAAAAAAAAAGTTAGGATCATTAATTCACTCATTCAACAAGTATTTATTAAGCACTTACTGTGCTGAGTATATTGCAGCAAACACACAAAGTTCCTACCCGTGAGTGTGTGTGTGTGTGTGTGTGTGTGTGTGTGTGTAGATATATATATATATTTATTTATACTGACATCAATTATATGTATTTACTACAAGTACAACATAATTATTTTCCTTTTCTTTTTTTTTTAAGATAGAGTCGTCTCACTTGTCGCCCAGGCTGGACTACAGTGGTACAATCTTGGCTCACTGCAACCTCTGTCTCCCAGGTTCAAGTGATTCTTGTGCCTCAGCCACCTAAGTAACTGGGTTTATAGGCATCTGCCACCATGACCAACTAATTTTTGTGATTTTAGCAGAGATAGGGTTTCACCATGTTGGCTAGGCTGGTCTTGAACCTCTAGCCTCAAGCGATCCACCTGCCTTAGCCTCCCAAAGTACTGGGATTACAGGTGTGAGCCACCAAGCCCTGCCCAATATGATATTTTGAAAAATAGGCTGAGTATCCCTAATCCAGAAATCCAAAATGCTCCCAGTATCTGAAACTTTTTGAGTGCCAACATGATGTTCAAAGGACATCCTCATAGGAGCATTTCAAATTTCAGATTAGAAATGCTCAATCGGTTAGTCCATATAATGCAAATATCCCAAAATCTTTTGTAAAAATTCAAAATCTGAAACACCTCTGGTCCCAAGCATTTCAGTTAAGAGATACTCAACTTCTGTGCAATGCCTTAATCTAGCTAATTAATATATGTATTCCCTTGATTACTATTTTTGTGGTGAGAATATTTTATATCCATTCTCACCATTTTTCAAGAATACAATGTATCATTAACTACAGTCACCATATTGTACAATAGATCTTCAATTCTAACTAAAAAATTTCAAATCTATTTTTTTTTTTAGTGGGAGCGGACAGAGTATCACTCTGTCGCCCAGGCTGGAGTGCGGTGGCACAATCTTGGCTCACTGCAACCTCCACCTCACGGGTTCAAGTGATTCTCCTGCCTCTCAGCCTCCTGAGTAGCTGGGATTAACAGGCACGCATCACCATGCCTGGCTAATTTTTGTATTTTTAGTAGAGACGGGCTTTCAACATGTTGGTCAGGCTGGTCTCAAACTCCTGACCTCATGATCCACCTGCCTCAGCCTCCCAAAGTGCTGGGATTACAGGCATGAGCCACTGTACCTGGCCAAATTTTGTAGTCTTTAACCAATATTTCTCCTGTACTTTCCCTAACTACTTTCTTGTGGTTTATATTCTAATGAAATAAAAATTAAAAAAAAAAAAAAAGCCAAGGCCAGGCACGGTAGCTCATGCCTGTAATCCCAGCACTTTGGCGAAGCCAAGGCGGGCAGATCACGAGCTCAGGAGATAGAGACCAGCCCGGCCAACATGGTGAAACCCTGCTTCTACTAAAAATACAAAAATTAGCCAGGCATGGTGGTGCACGCCTATATTCCCAGCTACTCAGAAGGCTGAGGCAGGAGAACCGCTTGAACCCAGGAGGTGGAGGTTGCAGTGAGCCAAGATCATGCCATGCACTCCAGCCTGGTGACACAGTGATACTCTGTCACAAAA